CTGCTTCATGGTATCTGAGTAATTAACTATGAACCAAAACCTTTTATCTATTTACTGTAGATTTAACATATTTTATAATACTTGATTATTAATGTGAGTTTTTAATCATTAGTAAATAACATCAACATTTAACACCTTTGTACATAAAAAAGTTAAAATAAGAAAATCTCCCCTCTTTTGTTACATTTTGTTGTCTTTAATCATTCACTTAAAATGCTCAAGATTTATGTCATTGATTTGTTTTTCCTAAAGATTATTACACAACAAATATTATGAAATCAGGTAGAAAATCTGACGTCCTCTGCACTGCAGTATAATTCAGTCATGTGCTGATCAAACAGGTAATGCCAAATAATTTAACTTAAAGAAACTGACTGCACACCAGAAACTTCTGCTCTGGACCAACTTCAAACATCTTTGGTTTTTATTTAAAAAACTGCAAACAATATTTCCTGACCATGTCAATATTTCACAGCTGAGATTTTTAGTGTGTTTTGCCCTTAAAACTAAAAATTTTAACCTTCTCACTGGTATTATTGTGTCAGTTTCATCCACTTTCTGCTTCATATGTACCCATTAACAAAGCCATAGACTTGACTTATCATCGACTGCAGTCAAACCACAAGTGTTTCCCTGAGGTTTAAACCATTTTGTAAACCACTCCCTAAAATCTATACTGGCCACCAAATCTAATTGTTTTCAGTAACATAGTAAGTATTTAATAAAACAGTGATTTTAACCATGTACAAATGTCACAGTGAGTTTTTATCTCATTCTGTTTCCAAAGAGAGTCACAGTCACATGTCTCTCCTGCTGAGGCTGAAACACATTTCATCACCTTACTGTGACGATGACTGGATGTAGCTATACAGAAGATTTGTGTGGGTTTATGTTTGATCTGTCCTTACCGTAAAACTTTAATGAATAGCCGAGTCCCAAATAGCCGCCAACCCCGTTTACTGGTGTGGGTAAACATTTTGACAAATAAAAGCAGGTCTCGATTAGACGCCTGGTCTGTTTTTACAGAAGTTCTTTGGATGTATAAAACCACTTAAAGCTCGTGGGGGTCGCCCTCTTTAGCTGCTTCTAGGCTGCATAGATTGTGAATACAATTTTTGTTGGTATGGACGTGCTGCACATTGTTGGATCAGTTAGATTCTCCACAATTTAATCTGTGATCTCTTCTCATCGTCCTCCATCCAGTTATTCTGAAGTTCTGCAGCAGCTGATCTCTGACTGAAACCTCATATTCTGTTTTACAGATGAACATATTATCCTGGTGAGCCCTGTCCGTCCTGTGACTGAGGGAGATCCTGTTAGTCTCAGCTGCAAGTTCAGGACAGAAAACTTAGTTTCATATGTGTTTTCTATCGAAATGACAAACTGATTCAAAATGATAGCAGAAGGGAGCTGAACATCTCTGCAGTGTTGAAGTCAGATGAGGGTTTCTACAAGTGTCAACACTCAGGAGAAGAGTCAGCACAGAGCTGGATGTCAGTTAAAGGTGAGTAGGATTAAAACAACTGCTGCATCTTCTTCTGTGTAAACTGTGTTTCTGTCTGAGAAAGAAACATGGTCAAATACTGACCTGAATCTGAAGTAGCATCAGTTTCAGCTGATTTCACCTGTTGGAGCTGGAGAAAGTCTGCATCAGTGGTTGTGACAGTCATGTTTATTGTGAATGGATAATTTCACACTGTACTCTGTTATATAGTGTACTATAAGTACTCATGTGTGTCAAACATTACATGACATTGAGACTGGGATTTATGTTGTTTATCTACGT